CTTGTTTTTGCTGACTGGATACATATTTGTTTTAGCATTGTAGCACAGCTAGATGCATAAGGAAATTTAAAAAGTAGCTGTTTTATGTGTAGAGGAATCTAAAAATCTTCCCCCCCCCCCCCTCTTACCATGTAGAAAGCTTAGCTGAATTCACAACGGCCAACAAGAAAAGCATAAACGCCGCACTGTGCACTTCTATATGTTCACACGAGGCATTATAATTAGCTGGTTGCCAAAAAGCAGCTGAATGGCGAGTGAAGCAGGCAACTCAGAAGCAACATTAGTCCTCTGTATCTGAACTGATGCTGCACTCTCTGAAAGGGACTTGAAGTGTTCCCCACACACTCGCATTCTGCCACAAGCCTTTTTTACTGTGCTGTGTTTAGCAAACAGAAGGTGATTGTTTTTTTTTTTTTTTTCCTTTTCAAATCTCACTCAGTGAAGCGAGTGTCAAGAGCCAGAATAGCAGCAAACGGGGAAAACTGGAGACATTGTGAAAGCATGACAAAAAAAAAATACCTGTGAATGGTAAAAGGATAATATTGTGGATGGAAAATAGATTGCTTTTATCATTAAAAAATAAGTTTGATAGTCTTAAAGAATGCTGTTGTTGCATTGCATTACACATTATTGTAAATGTTGTTTTAGACATTATATCACATTCTAGATTTAGTGGTAAATCTAGAATGTGATATAAATAAATATTTATTTTCTTTTTTACTTTGCTTCATCCAGAATACCTTTTTGAAAATTCTAGTATTTGTATTAAAACATTAGGCAAAAAACTACTGCTAAATATCTGTAATTTAAGAAAAAAAGACAATAAAAAGGCTCTATTAAATTGTTGGGATCATATGGGATGTTCTAAGTATTTCAGAAATTGCGGATCTACTTGGATTTTTACACACAATCACTTTGTGGGTTTACAGAGAATGGTCCATAAAAGAGAGCATTAAAAGTCCAGGCAGAATTACTTTGTTGGTGTTTGGGGTTCAAAGGTCGACTCGTTTGAGGTGTTAACAGCGCAAATGGCCGCTCGTCGTCCGGCCAACAAGGAAACGCATATTAACGTTGTTTCCCTTCCAATAAAAGAAGATCCGTTTGGTTGAAATTGTTCCCTCTTTTATTAGAGTTTGAGAAAACACACAGTCAGCCCAACACTGTGTTAGCAATCAGCAGCAATGCCGTTTGTACTAAATATTTTCAGGTAGGGACGAGTCAGCTCTGTCGAGTAAATCACTCTATTTACCTGCAAAGCTAATGGTGATGAAAACTTGCACCCCATAATTGCAGATCATCCAAACTCCAATTAATTACTTCATTAGTACTGTTCTCACCTAAACACTGTGACTCCAGTGCTCTGTTATCACACCTTCATTCACTCCATCTCCATTGCGCCGGGCTTGCAGCCGACTCTTCAGAGTGCAAACGAAAGCATGAATAATCAGCGTGCCGCAGAAGAAGTAACCTGTCTTGGAGCAGGTCATTCCCTTAAACTGATTCCTAAAGATAAAATGTAGCCAACTGGGCTTCTTTCTGCCCCACGATAGACTGCTATCGGGTCTTTTTAACATCCAGATGGGCCGTGTTGTATCACTGCTGATGAAAAAACACTCAGTATTTTGTGTGATAACTGGGCTTATTCAACTGGAGAAAGGCTGTGTACACTGCAGGGCCAAACTTGAAGTCCAAGGTCCATGTTGAAATGGGTTTGCAGAACACTTTAGAAAGTGTGTGAATGATGCAAACATAGCCGCATTCATCAACACCTGGGTCACCCACAGACGGTTGGGATTTTTGATTGCACTGCTGAATGCAAGACTCTTTCTTCTGCTTGACTACTTTGTGAAAAAACGTCATTCAAATGGTTGCAGCAGCCAGGAAAAATGAGTTTGATTCATTATAAACGACAAAAAATTCAATGCATTTATTTCTACTGGCACTTAGTGGCAGTTTTAAACGGCCTATAGAAACTGTTAATTGAAAAACGACAGCCTTGTTTTAAAGGTTTGCATTTATACAGGAAAAGAAATGTATTCAGAGTATTTTGCTCACAGTACTGTTGTAGATAAAAGGGTAACAAACTGGTTTTATTCACTCATTTTCTTTACTGATGTCATCCATTGAGAGTCGATGAGAGCCGTGGCATAGAGTGCAACATCGTGACTTGTTCCTCAGAGTTTTAAATACCCAACTGTGGTTTCACTTACATGTCTTCCCTTCAGTGAAGCAGCTTTAATAAATGCTACACCAATTTATATTCTACATAACCTGCAGATCCTAATCTTTTAAGCCACTTTTGATTTTTACCAGTCATGTTTTGCAGCCTGTGGATTAGAGAGCAAACCTCAACAAACGACGCGAGATATTTGAAACTGAAATTTAATTACATTTATGTTATTGCGGTTCTCTACTTTCTTTAGATTGTATTGATTTTCGCCTTTTGGAGTTTTAATTTGTCTTTGCATAACTGAGCAGCCGATGAATATGTGACTATCTTGGTCAATACTGCAATCTTGATTCATTACAATTACACATTGAGTGTAAAAACACAGTTTATTGCACCCCGAAGTATTATTTTCTAAATTCCATGTTTCACACCTAAAAAGCGTGTGGTCGTCTTTTATTTCTTCCATTATTTTAACAGCTTTGAAAACACAGCAAAATGTGCTTTGATGCATCAAAAACTTTGAATTTTTGTGATTAGTTGGTTAAAAATCTACCAGCGAAGAATAATTAGCAGGGCGTGAAAATTTGCTCTGTGGTATTGTGAGGTTTAATCCGCATTTTACGCAACGTGGAAGTCGTAGGGGAAACAGTCTGAGTCAAATTAAAGGTTAGATTTCGCTGTTATATTATGTATTTGTAACTGTTTGCAGCCAAAATGAAAATCAAAAGAGAAACTAAATTAACTACAAGGGATTTTCTTGACAAAACTCAAACATTTTAATCGTTCTGAACAGATTTACAGTGACGTCTGAGTCAATTTTGTCATATTTGCAACAGCTGTTCTTTATTATTCACTCATTAAGACAGAGCAGGGCTGTGATTTCTGTTCAGCTTGAAAAACAATGCAACAGATTTTTGCAAATCAAATATTCATGTGTTAACTATGCTCTCGACTTTAAAGCTCATTGTTCGTTGACAGCTTTGTGCACAAATGTCAGTGACGACATCATCAATTACGCTTTAACAATCCAGTCTTCTTGCTGGTTTTCCCCCCTTCAGGTGGGCTTGCAGCGCTGGTGGGAGCAGGAGATCCCTGTAGGCGATACCATCGGCAAAGGGGAGCTAATGACACACAACCTCACCGAGCTGATAAAACCCGAGTCGTACGAGGTGCGTCTCACTCCCATCACTCGTTTTGGAGAGGGTGACTCCACCGTCCGGATCATCACCTACAGCGGTGAGTGTCAAAAAGCGTCTTTTAAGTGTTGTCTCAAGAAGCAGCATAAAAGCAGGTCGAAAAACAGAAAAAATAAAATAAATCGAGTGTTGGTTCTATGTGTGGCGTAAAACACATCTCCACGGTGCGACTCTGTAATTAACCCCCGCTCCAGTTTTTGCGTCTCTACCACGACACGTGTCCGTCAATTCGTGGATGAATATCACAAGTTCACTTTGGCATCAGCAGCCATTTCTGTGATCATGACGGAGATCCATTATGCATGATATGTATGAGGATGGACCAGTTAAAAGTGAACTCATTAAAGTCATTTGAATTGCATCTAACCCATTAAGTCTTGAGAGGTTCAGCCGGATTTCAGCGTGCTTTGCTCCTTTCCAGCTTGAGCCAAACGAATGCTGATCAACTGACTAATCTCTTCCTCTGACCTTTATTCCCTGAGTCAGGTTTTTATCCTTGGCTTGGTTAAAGGCTGACTTGTTGTTTGTGTGCTGGAGAGATCGCCGTAACATCAGAGCAGCGGATGACTCAAACACGTCATTTAGGTCATCAGACCAAACAAAACTGGTCAGAAATGATTCATGTTTCTCTGCACTCAGTTTGCCCATGGACAACTTTTTTTTTCTTGTTTGTTTACCTCTTTTATTTTGCCAGAGGATTTGTTGTGTTTCCTGGAATGTTTCTCAAATAGCACAAAGGTATTTTTTATTTCAGTGCTGATCAAACAGAGCAATCGTAACATTTCCTCCGGTTTTAGACTCTAAACCAAAAATCGTGGTGATAGAATAAAGTTGTGCTTCACAGAGAACTGTTGTAGAAACTGCTGTGAAATTGCAAAAAGATAAGCATTTCAGCTTGAGATTGTTGATTGTGGTTTCTCCTTGTATACGTAAGGAATGAAGAAGCAAATGTACATTGAGAAGTCCACTATGCTAAGTTTCAACAAAGTGATTCAAAACAGGATTTTTAGGATTTGCACAGTGGAAGCAAACCAAGGTTGTGACGTTAATATCCTGAAAAAAAAATCAGGATATTTACCTGAAATTGAGCAATACTGCAAAAAGCCGAAGTCTTTGCTGACAGTTAAATGAACTCTGACCACATGAAGGCTTCTCCTCCACAGAAACATCAGATCTGGAGTCTATACAATATTTACATTTAAGCACAAAGAAATCACGTAGTTTTAAACTTGAGTGCATTCTGGAGATATTGTTTCATCATAATAATACGCATACATCAGTCTTAGCTCTTTGACATTAATAAAACTTTAGTATATTATCAGAATTCCTGCTATCAAGTGATGCAGTGAATCATATATATTTTCTAATATGACATAAAAACCACTGCCACATCTCAGATTATTGTCCTAGAATTAGAGGACACAAGCACAGAGACGGGGATGGGTAAGACGTATAGTCAATACTGTTATATTCTGCTCCGCTCCATATAAATGCACAACTCCTAGGTGATCTTTTCTACATCTTTATCCTCTAGATATCAGCTATGATTACCGAGAAAAGTGTTTCAGCTGCGCTTTGGCTGTCTTCTCGCAAAGGAAGCTTCTCCTTGTGGCTGAGCTGCAAGAATAAACAGACAACTTGAGAGTCTGAGTCAGAGTAAAAGCAGCTTAGCAGGCCACCTCTTGGAATACTTTTCCTTTAGTCGTTCCTTAGCAGTTTACACGTAATCAAGCAGATCCGTACAATAACGCGACTGCAAAAAAAGGTGAGAGATGTGCCAGAGAGCAACGTTGAATTATTTCCTTTAAATCCACATTCTAATGCAACTGTGAAGTGAATAAAACTATTGTAAGGCGTCCAAAATAAAACAAAATGAAAAAAAGACGGTAATGCTGAACTCTGACTGCTCTTCCACAACCACTACGAAACAATTTTACCAAAACTTTTTTTTTTTTGTATGCTCTGTGCCAGTCCTGCAACACACCTGACTTCATCGATTACATCCAGTTCTCTGACCACAGTCCATCACATCACCATGACAACCATGTCTACATACACGATCTTCCCTTCGTGAATAAATTTTACACCAGATTTGACTGAGAGCAATACCTTCCAAATTGTACAATTGTATATTATCACAGAAAGTTTTGACGATCACAGATATTTTATCAAATCAGAGGATTCAACGAAGTCACTACTTCCTGAGCGTACTTTATTGAGCGTATTTATCTTGATTCTAACCACCAGGCAGTAATCAGGCATCGGTCTGTCTACTGAAATCCACCCTCCAAAAAGTTTAACTATTTTATGACTATGTTACATTTTCAAATACAACCACTTTTGTTTTGGGACCTTTTTTTATCCCTTAGCAAACAGTTAGTATGTGTTTTTTTAAAGGCAGATGGAAAAACCCTGAAAAAATAACTTATTAAAGCAAAAATATGGACAGATTACTCCTACAGCCTTTTGATTATATATGGTACAATGTCTAAAATATAGCAAGAAATGAAGAAAACTAAGCTAGCTTGATATTTTTCATAAAGCACCAACTAAGCCACTAGGGCTGAAGGAAAATTTGTCCTTTCGTTCAAGGAAAACATGACATTGGGAATGTTAAAGATGGAGATAAAGACAACACAAAATCTCAAACTTCACAAGATGCTAGTGAGACTATTGGCTCACCACAAAAATAATCAGCCAAGTAAACTGCAGGCATCAGGCCGGTTGAGCCCAGTGAACACACACTAGAATACACTTTATTTTAAGGATATAAAATACCAGTTTGCAGGTACAGTTTTATTCTCGGCATGTTGACTGATACGCAACGAAAGGGTTGACAGTGCCATCCAGATACCCAGGTACTTGAGATGTGCATTTTCATAAAGTAACTGTTTTCCGTCTATCACTGCCTGCTGAGATCTTCCTGAGTGGCGCTGCTGCTGCAGTTGTGAATAATTTAGTTTCACTGCAGCTCATCACGACTGTTAGGAGAAAAGAGAATCGGAGAAGGGGGGGGGCGAAGACTGAGAAACAGGCAAACTTTCCCCCAGTGGTCTGTGCTAAACCTTGAATTGAATTCAGACGAACCGAATCGAATTGAATTCAGTCAAATATGTAAAGAAATGTGGCTAATTAAGACAGCGAGAAGCACAGGAGGATAGTCGGAGGAAGCCAAACTGGAGCTGAAGAGAAAGAGGGGGAGAGACAGAACAGAAAGAAACCAAGTAAGTTTTGGTGTTCAAATCTCCAGCCTGCACAACAAGAGACTGGACTAATTACCACTCTAGGGTGCTCCGTTCTCCCATGCGCTCTATGACGTTACTGTATCAGGCCAACGCAGGTCTGAGCCAAATTCACTCTGCACCGAGAACGTGTCCCATTAGTCACCCTGACTGACGGCTGAAGCGCGGAGCGAGATCGTCTGCGCTTTGGCTTCTGTTTAATCATGGTAGGAGAACAAGGACCTGAGGGGGCTCCTGTGTACAAACTGTCAGTGTTTTATTACATTCAGGGCTTTCCAATCTCCAGAAATATATTGTAGGAATTTTTAAATATATATATATATATGTATTGTAGTTAATCATTGTGCTTATTTTTGGGGTTCCATTCTTTTGCTCTGTTCTTGTGAATTTACTTGGATATTTTCAACTATTCTAGTTATTATTAAGTGTGCACCCAGCTATATACATATTTGTCTTTATAGAGGACTTTTAGCACAGATACAATAGTTGTGGATGAAGGCTGCCTTTGTTCTGACTCCTGTACTGACAAACGCTGTGGATCAAGTTGCATAGATTCAGTTCATCTTTTTTTTTTTGGCCATCTTGGTGTCAAACAATGATAAAAATGGGAAAGGTTTTTATAATTATTAAGAAATAAAAATCTTGCATACATTGGTACTTAGACCCTTTACTCAATACTTTATATAACCACCATTGACTATAACAATAGTTACAAATATCTTTGTATTTGTCTCTGCCAGTTTTGCACAATTTAACAGATTCTTAAGTAGCTTGTGCTCGGCCTGATTGGTCCATCAGGGAACGTCAGTTTTTTATCTTGGCAGAAATTCTCACTAGGGTTAAAGTCTGGACTTTGACTAGGCCATTCTAATTTATCATAATCTTTCCATTGTAACTTAGCATAATTGAACCCAGATAGTTTCCAAGTCTTCTACAATTCAAGTCTTTTTCAACATTGCCTTGTGTTTAGCTCCGACCAAGTTTCTATCAAACCTGACCAGCCTCCAGAAAAGTAGCTTCAAAGCATGATGCTGCCACTGCCATGTTTTATCATGAAGACAGTGATGAAAATCTTGTGTTGCTTTCCTTTTGACTTCACAATTAGACTCTACTTTGTGTTGACATAAAATCCTAATATAATCTTTTTTTTTGTGTTGTGACAAATTTTAAGGGATTTAAACGCAGCATATCCCTACGTGATTCGGTGTGTGCGCCTCTTTGTTTTTCCATCAATACAGCATTTTGTAAACGGTCCTCTCTGCCTTGCAATTAGTTCCCACAGAGTCTGAAAAAAATTACTACATTAAAAATAAAATGTGAAAAAAGCGTGACTCAACTGGTCGAGCCATTTTTTTTATTATCCACGACGGCAGCGGATTTTCTGTGACTCTGCAAGAAAACACCCAAAGCAGTTATTGTATCTCCAGCTGCAGGATGAAGAATAGTTGTGTCGGCCAGCTCTTTGAAATATACTGCAGCGGCAAACTCAGCATCTGTTTGGTTTTTGTCTTCGCCTCCCTTCTCTCTCATGGCTTTCCCTGAACAATGCAGGATTTAAAGTTTAAGCTTTATGTCAGCCTCTCTCTGTGCAACAGCTGTTTCCTGATACTACATCTTCATGCATGAAGGACATCTGTCTCACTGTCGAGGATCTTTGATATTTGTGCAGACGTGGAGTCTCTTCATACTTGAAAATAAAACATCTCACCAAAAAAAAAAAGTTCTTTTTTGCGTG